TATATATATCCTACTACAGCCCTTCCTGGAGGTGTTGTAAGTGGGACACGGTACCCTATATATATCCTACTACAGCCCTCCCTGGAGGTGTTGTAAGTGGGACACGGTACCCTATATATATCCTACTACAGCCCTTCCTGGAGGTGTTGTAAGTGGGACACAGTACATTCATTAGCGACATTTATGTGCACATCATTTCTGCCCTCTTGGACAAAGACATCAGTAGTGTAGTACATGTACTCAATTTAACAATTATATTAAATCACAAACTAAAATTACACTTAATCTCTAAATTCATTAAAAAAATCACCTTAAAAATATGTTACCTGTATATTTGAAGGTTAAACTTATGAAAATGTACCAGCAAATTCATGACTTCACTTTCTTTTCCAAAACATATTGAGACAATTCTATACAATTAAATAAATAATAAGCTGCTTCCTTTATTACTTGTTATTTTGCAATTATGAAATGGAACATTTAACTTTGAAAATAAAGAGTCTTTTTCTAAATTTCTAAACAACCTATATAGTATAAGAAGTAAATGAATGGAAACATTAATGAAACTCCTCATAATCTCTACATCTGTGATCAAACATTTAATTCCACACCTTCAGGAAACACAAATGTCATAGAAAGTACAGGATTTAAGTATTACAAATGGTTCAACATGTTTATAAATACAGGCACATTTTTGTTCTTCATAATTAAGAACCTTGATTTTTGCTGATTTTTGATGTCCTGAAAAATTCACACAATTGTACCTTCAAAATTGCTCCAAAGATAATGACTGCTTCCAAAGATAATGATTGCTTCCAAAGATAATGATTGCTTACAAAGATAATGATTGCTTCCAAAGATAATGATTGCTTTCCAAGATAATGATTGCTTACAAAGATAATGATTGCTTACAAAGATGTATTTGCATGTTGATTCAAAGGAAAAATTTATTGTTCAGATTTTCATTGAAGTGAAAATTTCACATATGTTTTAATGAAAATTTCATATACATTATACCTGGTATTGGTTTTCTTATCTGCAAAATGAATTACAATTTTCAGCACTGATTACAGTTGGGCTTTGTTTATTCAGCCATCTCCAAATCTTACGATTCATTGTCTATTCAGGTTTAAAAACACAAGATAGCTATCTAGAATTCTTTTTAAACAGAAATCACCCTTTTTTTAATTTCAACATTCCGTAATTGTCAATGTTGACGGAGGATGTATAAAGATCAGCATTTTTAACTGGGAGTGAAAACAGGCTTGATTACCAAAACCCATCTGTATACTGGATAGTCATTAGAACCAGACTATAGCTAAGAAGCATAAGGTTCTATACTAGTGTATATATACATAGGTATATATGTAACATACCGCCACCAGTGAAGTTAAACAAGGATCAAAGTGCACATGTCAAACAATAAAATCCCCTCGATACTGTATAAAATCATGCCGGGAAAAATCCTTGTATGTCATTCACAATGAATTGATTTCACAGAAGGAAAAAGGCAAGTATCAATTTGTTTTCTGAACAAATTAAAAATTGCGAGACTCCCATCACATTTTATACAGAGTTTTCCACATTTATCAAATTTAGAACAACATAACAGTATATGACACGGCCTTGAAATTACTTTTATCAGTTTTCTATAATGAGTTTTTAAGGATGTACAATCCCCCCCCCCCCCCCATAGTCTTGTTTTTGAAGACTGTAAGAATGAAATCAATGTGTAATGTAAGTCCCAAATGTTTTATTCAATTTTATTTTATTCAATTTTACTATCATTTATAAAAAAGGATATACATCATGAAAGTATATAAATACATTTGCTCCATATGTCCCAATTGCAAGGCAGAGACTTAAAATGTGTGTTGTAATATATTTAGTATACATGTATACCGTACCATTTGGTACCACCAACCACTGCTGTGACATCACCATCCTGATGATCGTGACATAACTATCAAAATACGCTGTTCCAAGAACTACGAGTTAACTAAAGTATAACTACTGAAATGTACATATAAGTATTGTTTGTTTAAACAATGGTGTTGTTTTTAACACACATTGCTATTGCTGACAAACTATATATTATATATAGCTACTGAACATGTATACTGGTACATGTATATATTTGCATTCAGTCAGATTATATAACCCATTTTCACCTGATATTAAATTTGCCCTTCTGGCTTCATATTTAATTATTATGTATACATGTATTATGTTGTTTGCAAATGTTCGTTGGAATAATAAGTTTGCCCTCATGTCTGGAGGGCGAAAAAGGCAAATATCAAACTGCATGCAGCGGAAAGGTCCTGGTATAAACGTGCCTGGATTTATTGTGTGTTATAGCCAGGTTTGATTTACAACACCACCAGCTAAATACAAATGTATTTAGTCTTATTCTTAGTCTTATGTAACTTATTCATTACTTAAATAAGTGATAAATAATTATTGCAAACAAACATTTTGCAAATGGTTACATTTGATCAATTTTCTACTCCTGAAAAATCATCTTACTTATCATATATGCCACAAAATAACTTGATACAAAGAAACTGTGATATAGTCTTTAATTAAGATACCGATTCCACACCAATCAGCCAAAAAAGTGGCCTTTCTGTAACCTATCTGGCTGTACGTTGTTTCCTGTTTTAATGTAATACATACCACTACAAACAATTCAACAGTGTTTCCTGTTTTACTGTATTTATAAAAACCACTACAAACAATTCAACAGTGTTTCCTGTTTTAATGTATTTATACATACCACTACAAACAATTTAACAGTGTTTCCTGTTTTAATGTATTTATACATACATGAACCACTACAAACAATTTAACTTAAATGTAATATCTAACCACACATCTCAAATGAAACAAATCCCTTCAAGTGTACAACAGGTACGATTTGTAGCTAGCCTTTAGTCAGCAGTACCTAAATTTAAAGTAACTGTGGAATTTAAGAGTTCTGAAAATGCTCAAAATCAGCTTATACTGGTGGACCTTTCAAACTAAAGATTTACTTTTGTAAAAAAAAAAAAAAAAGTATTTATGGCTGTATAATTTGAATGTCCCAAACATTAAATTCTACTTGACAATAAGCACAAGTTTCAGGTAGTTTCTCTGCATCCTGTTTTATTGTGATGATTAGTCATGCATAGTCATAAGAGTAAGACTATTATACAATTTGGGTCAGGTAAAAAACATTGATGTTTCTGGTACAGTAATAATATCTGATATGCTTTAAACATTGGAGTTGGTACACACATTTTTTCCCATCAGATAGTTATTATTTAGGAATATTGAAAGTTTCATTTTCATTGAATCAATTCAAGAAAGCTTTTGTTTTAATGGTACTGGCATAAATAAGTATACAAATTACACAAGTATTAATACAGTGTATTGTCAAGCTTCGCTAATGCAGCCATCTTAAAATTGGTTTGATTTGCAGGTAAGCAAATTAAATAGTGTCTGGATACTGTACAGAAAAAGAGAAACCTATCCCCAAACACTAGCTAGCTATAGGTACATACAGTATGTAGCTACCACAAGTCTGCGCTGGCTGGATTAAAGAGGCTTGACTCTACACTATTGAGATTGGTAATGTTTCCAGAAACACAAATATTTCGTACATGGACTTAATTATACATATATGTAAGCTGTGGAGGAGTAGGAAACCTGTGTACGCCCAACTGATGAGTGACATGCACCGGCACCTGACTGTACTTACTGGTGGATTTATCTCAGGCATGCATATGGCAGTCAGATCCTGTAAATTACATCAACATTGTTCATTTTTCCGTTATTGAACCATAGTGAACTATACACCTTGTCACACCTAGTCACTCAACTAAAGAAAGAGTCCCAACATTTAGCTTAATTGTTAGAGCATAGGACTAGCAGTAAGTACCTCAGAGTTTGACCCCTAGAAGAGACACTGGAAAATATCACCTTGGTAACATGTTAGTACAGTCAATTCCACTTAATATTGCATCTTATTTGTCACAAGAAAACATGAAATTAAGTGAACTTAATAATAACAGACAATGTACATTTTCTGACATTTTCCAGTAATTAAAACCCAAAAGAGACCATAATCAAATTTGATGTGGTTCTACAAACCAAGATTGTTTCATAAAGATGTTCCCGATTTGTTTTACCTGTAGCCAAGTGAGGCGTTTTTTGGGATTGATTGGCTGATAAGGGTTTTACGTAATAGGCGTTGTTATAGACTGTGTAAAATGTGTATAAAAGATTCCTTTACTATTTACTTCCCTGATCCCAGGCACAGAACGTCACGAATTATATATGTACCCAGAGTTCTACATACACGTAGCACTACGACAATGTAGAATGCAAATTACTATTTACCTGTTGTGATGAGGGTCTAGGGGGAGGAGATCGAGAAAACATAGAGGATATATTCCTGGTGTTGTCATAGTCATGAAGTCCCAAACTATTGATGCTCGAAATATCTGGTGAGCTAAGAGCATTACGCATTCCAGCGGGATTGTCTCCAGTTCCTGTGACCGTGCCTGCTGTACCTAGTCCCTGTGGCATCACGTTTACATAGTTAGGTCGGTTTCGAGGGGGAACTGGTGTTGGCGAATTAAGATTGTTCCTGGAGTATTTGTTTGCATTGAAACTAACTCGGTTGTCCTGTAGTATTTGTACATTTTCATAAAGTTGTGTGTTGTTAACATTCTCGTACAGAGGAACATCTTTTTGGTGTTTTAAATGAGATGATGGACCAGTCTCACATTCAGAATGCAACCTTTCATGTGCCATTGATGGCAAACCATTGCTTCCAATAGGTGGTAAAGGAATTCTTCCGACAAGAAACTCTTTCGATTGTGATATAGGTGGCAGACTTCCATGGTCAATTTGTGAAGTGGCTGCTTGGCCATCACATTCCAATTGTTTAGTTTCTATTTGCACATACTCCCCAGCCTCTGCTGAACGTTCATGTGAACTGCCCACTGACCCATTTGGTGGGTAGCACACATTATTACTCTTATTTGAATTGTTTGAATTTACATTTTCATATATGTTTTCAGCCTCTGACTGATTATTAGCAGTATAGGAGTTTGTTTCTGTTGTTTTCGCACTTGTGTCTGTAGTAGAAAACAAACTCTTCAATTCCTCAATATCGTTTAAAGTTTGGCGTTCAAACATATCAAAAGGATCATCCACTTTTTCAAACTGTGACACATCCACATTTTGACTTGCTGTTGAAGAGTGTTGGTTGTTTGAGTCAGTGTGGATTGGCGTAGGAGTGAGTATATCACTTCCTGTCAGTCCTGCCTTTAAAGGCTGTAGTGGCACAGAACTTGAGGCCACTTGCCCCGTCCTCCCCACTTTTGGTGTAACCCCTGACAATGCAGGACCAGAACTCTGGTGGGATGCCAACCATTCATCGTCAGGCTCAGAGTCATCGGAACTTGACCTTTGACTTTCCTGCTCTCGTAATTGATTGGCTTTTTGTTGGCGTTCTCCCTCTTCCCGTTTCTGGGCCTCTAATTGTCTTTCCCTTTCATGAGCCCACTGAAGAACACCCTCTTCTATTTCAAATGAGTACTGGAATAGCAAAAATGACACACTCACTCATTACTTCATCTTGAACAAATGTTAATTAATATGTCATGCTACAAGATCTGATGCCAAACATAACAATAAATAACAAGGTGTGATATGTTATACACAAGTTTTACGTCAAATGTGTCCTTTGACTGATGACCAACAAAATCTTAACAATTACAGTACTTAACGCTTCTCTACTTTGAAGTAAACCTAAATAATTGAGGGGTTAATGAGATGCATACATTAGCTTAGATGTTTGATATTTCAAATTGAAAAAAACATAATTGCTGAGCAATGTTAGTACAACTTCGGTGATTTGTTCATATTTAGAATATCTATCTGGAAACCATTGCATGCAGTATGGACAGGCCTTGGTTTCTCAATTAACATGTCCAAAATTACATTAACATACTGTATAGTTGTTGTATATATTGCGGGGCTAATAATTCACTGTTGTCCCGATCAGAATAATTTTGTAGGGATTAAATTTTGTGCAGCACTCCCTTGCCAAGACTTAGCGACCAGAGGCTACTTCCCTATAGGCACTAGGTACACTCATTCTACAGGAAACTTAGAAAATCACAATCGTAGATTTAGACATGCCTTATTTACAGGTGATTTTTGTTTAACTTTCAATTAAAGCATTACATACATTGGAATGTCAGTTGTTTTACTTAAATGTTTCATAACAGCCCTGGAAGGGTAGGGTTTGAAATATCATTGGTATCAACACTGCCATAGAATGACATCTGATTGAAATTTGGTCAACTTGGTTTTTCAGGAGTAAACATGTCTATGCATTTTTTTAGTGACACTTCATATCCACAGCAATTTTTGAATCAGGGTCAAAATATTCGCAGGGTTTTTAATTTCAAGCATTTTATGATGATTGCTTAGTAAGGGTATTACATTTCAAGCAATCTATGATGGTTGCTAAGTAATGTAGCAAAATTAAATGTGTCATGAATAATACTGACTATATACAGTAAACTTCCCCATATATGCAAAGCATTGTTTAAGCTAAGGATCTCATAATAAGGTAAGAAAATGTTCAAAAAACCGGTGCCAGACACTTATTAGCTCAGACTTCCACAGAAATGCAGGAACAAAGACCACCTTATCATTCCAGCAGTTCTACAAAAGCTGTGTTTACCTCTTCATGTCTTGTAGCAGCCACTCGTGTCTTCCTCATAAGTGTTGATGGTAGCTGAACCTGGAACAAACAAAGCTGTGTTAACACTTCAATCGTTCCTTTATATATTTCTTTTTCTATTCATTCTGTTTATTTCCATGAGAATAATAATTAAAGGAAGCATTAAATGTGGTGCAAAAATATATTTTTATGTCCATCTTATCTATAACATTGATTCTGTGGGGAGTGTATTGAATTAGTACGGTCAGAAGATGTGGAAAATAACTGTCTGATTCAATAGCATTACATGTGATACCTTTGTTGGTGGTTTGAACCCAGAACTGATCTTGAATGGCACCCCATCTAGATAGGATATAGAGGAACCATACACTGCAAAACAAAACCACATTATTAGTCCGGACCTGAGTTGAATATATTTCAATAAATTTGAAATACAACAATAGGATCAGGAACAAGTTTCAACAATATTATTATATAAGTTCTGTCAACAATTATTAGGCAAAATTGAGTCATGGGCAAAAATTATGAATTGTACAAATCATGAGATACTATTTGTATTTCCAAAACAATGAACGAACGAACGCAAACGAACGGTTGAATCAATTACATGTTACCATTTACACTGATGGCACATTGACTGTACATAAGACATATATACTAGAGTAATACTAAATAGAAACAGTTGGGCAGTGAAGTATTATAAAATTGTACTGAACATGAAAATAAAACTATACTGACCTTCATTGTTTTCTCTATCATAGTCCCTGTAGGCCATGGTGGACACAATACTTGCTGGAATCATAAAAAAAAGCAAAAGTAGGTAAAACCCTACATTTCAATTACAATGGAAGCTTGTAACCCAGACACTTCCACAGTGATGTTATCCTCATTCACCCATACCTTTATGGGCTTGTATTCAATGAAACCGTTTACATGCTCAAACTCATATTTTGTGCTCAAGTACAATTTCTTGTTTAATACAGCAATAAATCTTTGATCCTTCAAATTGTGACAATAATTTTAATGGAAGAAATAGGGTAAGACTTCATTTCAGAAAGCTAGAAGAAAGTCGGTTTGAGCACAGAGTTCATGATTGACCATGAGAACAGTTGTCATAACAGGTATGTCGTCATAATCACAGGCACAAAGTCATAATACTTAAAAGGGTGGGGTGGGTATATGCAACACTTCAAACACACATGATCTCTACCAAAGACCTCCATACCAACAAAGCTAGCAGCTCTTGATCAGGAAGTCGTTACACTGCCCATATATGCAGTTTGGTGTTACACAAAGTTAAGATTAAAGTGATTTTGGCTTTTTTTAGTAACAAATCCATACCCCTATTGGCGTATAATAGGCGAGTTTGCGTATTATACGCAAGTTAGTGGTTTTCCCCGACCTGATATGTGTATATATATATACACAATATAATGCATGATATCACTATATAATAGTACTATTATACACATCATATTAGTGTGTTTAGAACCTGTGTATTGATCTTCATGTACATATCTATGTCAGTACTACACAACAAGTGTCAATTATACGGCTAGTAGACTATATTGTCATTGTACATTTTTTGCACTGATTTTTTTTCTTCTTTCTCAGTCTTCGTTTCGGAGCGTTTCAAAATGCTCATGGAGTTTACAGATACAATGTTATCAAATTATGGACCAGGAAAGAAAACAGAAATTATTTTTGAGTAAGTATCAGATGTCAATTCGTTAATTTAACACTGCAAATGATTGCAGATTGGGTCCACAGGCACGAGCAGTAACAACATCAACTCAAGTTTCGTTTTTACATCTTTGTTTACAAGTCGAGTTTCATATTATTCGAGCCATATATCAACTATCAATCTGAGTTTGTTAGAATTGCTCATAATAGTTTACAATTTGGACGTTTAGAGACAATGATACACTCCAGGGACACACAATCTCCATTTCTTACCCTGACGGTGTCTCAGTGTGTGCAGCCGTCGTCCATGTTTTTCTATGATGTCATCGTCAGCTGTCATGTTCGAGGGGAGACAACTCTGATTATAAAATAAGATTCATACAGGTATCGCATTGAGTCACCGTGCATGGCATATTGGTCAATTTTAAGTTATTTTTAGAAACAAATGACATGCTGTGATACTTATAAGTAATGGTTATATATACGTCTCTGATTAATGTATCTCAATGTTTCTTTCATTTCTTCTTTATATTTCTAAAATTAATGTCGTCTAAAGATATTTCATAGATATTTCAAAAACATATCTACATTATTTGTAATATATATATATATATATACACGTCTCTCTCTCTATATATATATATTACAAATAATGTATACGTCTCTGCTTCTGGAGATAAAAAAAAATAAAAACCAGACGTACACATATAATTATTTGAGTTCATACTAGACCTTATCTCGTTATAACGATTTAACATCTCTTTATAGCAAGATAGTGGTTAGTTATAGTTGCCGTCTCAAGAACAATTGATATTATAAAAAAACCACTAAAGAAAAACTTAGCAGAGCGAGTTTTCGATCCTCGGACCTCTGGGTTATGGGCCCGGCAGCTTCCACTGCGCCACTCTGCTATGACACCACTTATGGAAATATGCCATACATATCGATGTGATCGGCACGATTTCATCAGAAAATCGCCTACCGAAAAGTTAGACTTCAGACTAACAGGTTTTAAACTTACTACACGCTAGCTATGGACAAACAAATAGCAGTTGCTCGACCATTTACGGTCATTCTCCAGAAAAAATATCAATGCAAAACTATAATACATTTGATATACATGTATATTAAAATGTACAAAAAATAGGACAGATAATATGTTTGACACATTTCAAAGAATTCATAAAGACTCGCTTTAAATTATTGTATTGTACCGTGATTTTATTTAAGAATAAATTAGGATATTAAAATTAAATTAAATTTAATCACGATAAAAAAAACCATGTAAAATATACAACGGTATGAAATTGGTCCCCAAAGATTCATAACGAATCGATGTCGCATGGATAAAGGAGATCAGTGACAGGAACAACTTGTTATGTCGATGTCACAGTAACAAAGTAGAAACAGGAACAACTTGTTATGTCGATGTCACAGTAACAAAGGAGATACAGGAACAACTTGTTATGTCGATGTCACAGGAACAACTTGTTATGTCGATGTCACAGGTACAACTTGTTATGTCGATGTCACAGTAACAAAGTAGAAACAGGAAAAACTTGTTATGTCGATGTCACAGGTACAACTCGTTATGTCGATGTCACAGTAACAAAGTAGAAACAGGAAAAAACAAAGGAGATATCGGAACAATTCGATATGTCGATGTTTCAACTCGGGGACAAAACAAGATAAGGAAACAAGTCGTTATGTCGATGTCACAGGAACAAAGGAAATGCAGGAACTATTCGTTATGTCGATGTTACAACTCGGGACAAAAGATATATAGGAACACATTGCTACGAATAGCAATTAAATCACATTTTCAGGTAATGTATTTTTTTCTATAAAGAAATTTAAAATGGAACAAATTTGATACGATGTTAATTATGCTGTCGTATTCAAAAATCTCCTAAAACCATAAAAAAATTCTTAGCAGAGCGAGGTTTCGATCCTCGGACCTCTGGGTTATGGGCCCAGCACGCTTCCACTGCGCCACTCTGCTATATTGCCCTAGATGGACTTATTCCATACATATCGAGCTCATCAGAGCGATTGCATCAGAAAATTGTCATCCGTGGAGTAAAGTACGAGTTGTTTCTCTTGACCCAGGTTAACCTATTCTTAAAGTGTATCCTGAACGTTTTGCTATATCAAGCTATGAAAATAGTTGACTCCGTTTCCGAGATATTGTGATTTGTCTGAAAAACACACCTTTGGTTCAGCGGCGATCGCCTCGATATGGGTAGCCCACATCTGTGACGTCACACGTTCAGCGCTGTCAAAAAGCCCTATAGGAATATATACCGGGAACTTTTCTCTCTTTTCTCTTACTATCGTCTCTTTCTTTTAGTTCCCCCTTCCCCCCTTCGACCATGCATTCGTTATGTGAGCTTTTTAGCTACTTAGTAATGATATATTCCGTCGTCACTTACCTGTGTAGATAATATTTAAAGACTACATACATAGAAATGATTTTTTTTTACAAAGAAGAAAGTAGTTCCTCCTGAGGTGACACACGGTGAAAAACTATATGATTTTTTTTTTACAAATAATGTACTCTTAATTACTAAATCGGTATTTAGAAAATTTGATGAACACCTATACACAACACAAAACAATTGTGTCTGCATGGTAAGTTCGATATTTAATTATAAAATTTTAACACACTCTTGGAAATATTTTAATATCTACGAACCCAACGATATTATAAGTGATAAAGTTACAAATCAATCAAACTCAAATTCTGAAGTAATTGATACTCAACCCCAACCAGCTACCAAACTGTCAAATGGTGAATGTACATGAAGTATTCTTTTTGTCAAAAACATCCAATAAAGGTTTGGTATTGCAGTTAAACTGTAATAAAATGGTCAAAATTCAACAATTCTTCTTGATATTTTCGATAAAGTATCAGACTCCGCTAGCGAACAAATTCACTGGACGTTTATTTGATATTTCGTGCATAACCCGATCCGTCGCCGTACTTTTAAAGAATAAAATCACGCTGTTAGAAGGATGTTAAGCATCGATTGTAAACGACAAGAATTTTGAGTTTGAACAATAGTTCACTTGGTTACTGTGGGGTTCTAGCTCTCTCCGAGAATAAGTTGAAAGTTCACAAATGAATACATAACGCACCACTGGCAGCTGTACTGTCAGTCTCAATCAAAGGAGGCAGGGCAGCCGTCTAGGTTCGAGTCACGTCATGTGTTGTATCTTTGAGCAAGATACTCTACTTCGCTTGTTCCAGTCTACTCAGCTGTAAATGAGTAGGTGGTTGGGCAGTGCTAGAATTGTTGAATGCTACATGTAGCTACCGAGCGCCGAAATGGCAGCACCGGCTGTATGCTCCCCAGGGAGTTGAGAAAGATA